ACTTTTCACAGCAACATTTATCAGCTTCACACTGCCTGATTATCCATAAAACATAACTGGTAGAATATTATGACCCAGAAGACCTGGTTTGAAAATTATGACATCATACTCACAGGAAACAGTGAGAGACTAGCTTTATGCGTCAAATACACAAGTGTTATGTAAATAAACGAGATGCAGTGGAATACACTGAATATGACAATGGATGTCTGTTAATTGTTAGTCATACAATGTAATTATTATTATCTGTCTCCATAACACASGCATGAATGAACACATTTAACTATATAAAAAAACATTCAAAACACACACAAAACCTGTTTTTAGAGCTGTTTTGTGTTAAAAAACCTGTACAGAACCACACATACTGTAATTAATGATCATATATAATATATACAATTACAGGATTGGTTTGGTGATGACATTATGGGTGACATCAGCATTATTAGCAAGAAAATGCATCATTATAAAAAGGAAAATAAGAAAAATGTGTACACAATATACTAAATCTCAAATGTCAGTAGCAACCACATAATTTATACAGTATATATGAATAGGATTATTAATATGTTGTATCACGACTCATGTTGTGATATGAATCAGATCACTAACTTATTGCCCATACACAGCCTGACTCTAGTTCCATAAATAATATGGAGGCGTCACACTGTGGCTACAAGACCTAAGACCTGAACCCAGTAATCTCCCAGAACCAGAACCTGGACTCACTCACCCCAGCATCATGTTCCAGTTCAGCCAGCAGCTCAAACTGGGACCTCTTGCGACTGGACGAGCCGTTAGAAGCACACTGCCAGACCTGAGAGACAAAACCAGTCATTTGGACAGAAGAGGACAAAGAGGAGGACAAACATGGCTGCGTTAAACAAAGACTACTTTAACGGTGGAGTCCCAGGACGCCGTGAAGAGTCGGTCATCAAACCAGCACATTTTAGCCACGGCGTCATCGTGACCCATCAGCGTGTCCTGCCGCCGCCCGAACGGCACCGAGTAGAAGTATCTGTGGGCGAGGAAAGAGCAGAGATCAGGAGGAGGAGAAGCTGAAAGCACCTCCGAGACGTGCAGACACACTTACACGTTGTTGTCCCACGAAGAACACGCCACAGTTTTACCATCCGGCAGCAGCAAACAGGACGACAGCGGCTGGAAACAGAAAGTTTCACAGTTCAGGCAGGTGAAACAGGAAACAGGAAGTGAGTAAACGAAGCAGAGTACCATGTTGGAGAAGGACATGCTCCTCTGGAACTCCTTCAGCTCTTTGGAAAACATTTTAAGAGTCGAGTCTGGAATAAAAAGGAATAAAATGTGGATATTTAACTCTTGTCTGCATTCGTCKCAGTTTGAACCCAGTCTTTGCTCCACCACCTTGAGACGTGGAGAAAATGGAAGCTCCGTCTCGAGTCACAGCAATCCCCGTCACGGCTCTGGACATGAAGACARAATTAGCTCCTAAACAGCAATATTTACAAAACAAGGCTGTAAAACACTCCTGCCTTCTCCCACTGAGCTCCTAACTCACTCCTTATGGATCCTGAGGCTGGAGATGAGTTTCAGGTTTCCCATGTTGGCCCAGGCCATCTTCCTGCTCTCTTCAGTCAGGTCCTCGAAGGACGAGTCCTCACATGGAGAGGCTGCGGACACAACAGGTCTGTTAGGATCACGGCTGCACAGACAGTAAACTACAACACTGAGTTAAAGGTTTGATGARGGATCAACACAAACTGCTCAGGAGCCTGAACCCTGCTTTGATGTAAAGAAATATACAAGTAATTTTTATAAATTAGKTTTTGTCAAATTTAATTCTGCTAACAGCTAACATCTAGCACACAAAGTGACTGTCTTCATAGCGATTAGGAGTTAGCGTTAGCATCCACTATTAAAAAAAATATATGTTTAGCGTTAGCTTCAACAAAGTTTTTTCAATGTTTAGCTGTTTATAGTTAGCTTCCACTAATTCTTTTACACATTTAGTGGTTTAGTGTTAGCTTCCACTAATTTTTTATTCGTTTGGCAGTTTAGAGTTAGCTTTTGCAAATTTTGTGTTTACGCCTTTAGTGGTTTAGCGTTAGCTTCAACTAATTTTTTATGTTTAGCTGTTTAGCATTAGCTTCCATAATGTTTTACGTTTAACTGTTTAAAATTATCTTTCACATTTTTTACGTTTAGTAGTTTAGCATTAGCTAAACCACTTAACGTTGGTTAGCATTCATTCGTTATTCGTTTGTTAGCGTTAGCTTTCACAAATTTTTAAATGTTTTTAGTGGTTTAGACGTTTTTTTTTACATATTCAGCTGTTTAGAGTTAGCTTTCACAAATTTTGTGTTTACACGTTTAGTGGTTTAGCATTAGCTTCAAATAATTTTTTATGTTTAGCTGTTTAGCATTAGATTCCATAATGTTTTACATGTTTAACCGTGCAGAGTTAGCTTTCACATTTTTTTTACGTTTAATGGTTTAGCATTAGCTAAACCACTTGATGTTGGTTAGCATTTGTTCGTTAGCATTAGCTTCCACAAATGTTTTTTAAATATTTTTAGTGGTTTAACTTTAGCTTCCACATGTTCAACTGTTTAAAATTATCTTTTACGTTTTTTATATGTTTAGCATTAGCTAAACCACTTAACGTTGGTTAGCATTCATTCGTTATTCGTTTGTTAGCATTAGCTTTCACAAATTTTTTAATGTTTTTAGTGGTTTAGACATTTTTTTAACATTAGCTGTTTAGAGTTAGCTTTCACAATTTTTTTAGATGTTTTAGTGGTTTAATGTTCGTTAGCATTAGCTTCCACAAATTTTCTTACATTTTAGCATTAACTTTTAAAAATACTTTTAGCAGTTCTGTTTTATTTAATATTCAAGTTTACGTCTCCCACACAGATCCATCCTCTTATTTTCATGTTACTTAAAATATTTGTCGTCGTTTTGACTTTTAATTAAAGTTTTTGTTGGGATTTTGCCTGAATCACCAAAGAAACTTTACAAAGTATTTATTATAAAGAACATTTAAAACAAAAAAAGTCGTTGACAGAGTTAAAACTTTGAYGTCATCAATGCAAACATTTGAGTACCGCAGGCAGCAAAATATAAAATAACATTTCATTCATTTAATTACAATTAGGGGAAGAAGTACTGGGGAAAATGGCCTTAAGAGTTAAACGGGTCAATGTTCTGCATCCAGTACTGTTCATTATAAATTAGCTGTCAGTTTTAAATCAGGCACATGGTTTTTCATCCCCTCCGCCGACCCACTGACGGCCCTAAGCCCGATTTTTGGCAGCAGACCTTTGCGAACGCTTCCTGTCGAGCAGCGATTGTTTGTTTTGCGTTACCTGGCGACAGCTCGCTGGCAGCCGAGTTGATGCTGGAGCTCCGCCTGGTGTTCTGAAACCTGGGCGTGATCCTCTGAGGGTGGGGCCGGGTGAAGAGCTGCCTGGGCGTCTGACCGAACTCCAGGATCTGAGTCAGCATGGCGATCCTCTGATCCGTGTCCTCGATGCTTTCACACAGAGCCAGAGAGGAAAGTTAGTCCTGGAACAGACGGTCCTTCTGGATGTATCTCCTCCTCACCTGTCGCAGTCGATCTCTCCTTCATACGTCAGCGGGTGGAACACTGAGAGTAAAACAGACGGGCGTCACAATCGGAACGTTTTTGGTTGAGTTGTTGAAATCAGGAGCAGTTTTTACCATTATGAGCTGCCACCGCCTCGCCGCCTCTCTGTTTGAAGCCGAACACCAAATCGATCCACTCGTGGAGGTGCTCCGAAACAAACGGACTCTCCAGCGCCGCCTTGTGCTTCTGGAGAAAATCTCTGGCATCTGGCGGGGCGACAAAACGGACATTTGAGCGTACGGGTCGACTCGGCCGTCGTTCAGCGGGGAAATATTTCTGACCTGAGGCCCAGGGAGGAAGGACAACGTCACGGACTGGTTTTCCGTTCTGCTTTTTGCCCAAATCCAGATTCTGACCGTTTTCCAGGAAGCTGGGGTCACTTCCGTAAAACTCTGGTATCAGCTGCAGACCAGAGACGAGCGAGGAAAACATTTATTTTTGGTGTGAATCCAAATCAGAAACATGTTCTGAAAGGTTCAGAAACTATCRTGACAATAACGCTTTACGAGAATCACCACCAGAGTTGAGCTAAACCCTCTGTCCCCTCTGGGCCGGGCCCATCGTTGCCCACCTCAGCTCAAACRTGTCAGGTGTTAAACCTTCATGATTTCATCTACTGGAGAAGGCAGATAGATTTATTTACTGTAGTTTTAGTTGTCCTGATGCATCTCAGTAATCCAGGTAACAAAAAAAAAAAAGGGAAAAAAAGTGTGTAGGTCTTCTGGACGGGTTCTTCTTTAATGAAACTTTTCGTCTCTCCTCCAAGAGACTTCTTCAGTCTGA